ACTAACATAAGTTGCATTTATAAATGTTTAATACAGATATAAATGCATTTACTGGTGCTATTTAATATCTGCCTGAAGCATAAATGTAACTGCAGTCATCATTTAAGAGTCCAAGCATTACAATGATTCCATATTACTTACTTCCATAGTACTATTTTCAGTTGTGACTTCATGGCATAAAAATAACACACTTTAACTAAATAATCTGTATACATTGTCTGCATGGCCCCTTTAATTCTCTCAGTAGGACCCAAGGGTCAGTAAGGACCCTGCACATTGTAGTGCGCTGCGTTAATGCCAGGTACGCTGTTGTGTGCCCAGGGCAGGATTTCCCACAAGGCCAACCAAGGCCCGGCCTTGGGGCATCAGCTAGTGGAATTCCTATCTCCCGACGCCCAGGACATGCAGTTCCGGGCGTCGGGCGGGTAGTTGCTTTCTACATTTAGCTCTGCTTTGGGCAAGCAGGGCTAAATGTACAGCAGGGAAGCTGACGCTTGTTTTGTACAAGTGATCTCGGCGATATCGCCGAGATCACTTGTATGCAGCCTGCATACAGGGGGGCGCATAGAGGAACCTGGCATTGGAGCAGCAGAGAGAGTAAATCCGGCCCTAGGGACCAAAAATTGTGCATGCAACATTTTTGGCACTGCACCTCACATTAAATTAAAACTACTGTATAGTAAGTATGATCTTTACACTCTTCTTACAACTATTTATTTTATAAATCCTCGAAGGAGAAAAATTATCAATGGGTTTACCTAACATATAACACGACAAGATATTTTATTTATCCAAAGAGACAAGGGAGATCTAATGTCATTCAGAACAAGTACGACAATTGTTCTGGAAAAAAATATATACTACTAATGACAGAAATTATTTTAACTCACTTCTCACCATAGATCTCACTGGCACCTGCTACAATAAAACTTTAGCCAGACTGGAGGAAGGAATTAGAAAGCTGGAAATGTGATATTGTGTGTATTGTACATAATTACAGCTCTTTAGAAAGTCCAATTACTACACAAATGGATCACACAACCGTAAACATTAAAAATGTACTGTACAGCAGCGCCTTGTGTATATCAATAATAGCGCCTCCAAAAGTCACAAGGTATGACATATATGTGAGCCATGAAGAAGCCAGACGAATGGGCCTCAGTAATCTGGGAAACTCATTGTCTGTGGAGTCATGGGGATGTAAAGGACAGATGCTGAGACACAACTTGTGAAAGGGAGAAACAAATGAAATGGATGGAAGTGCGATATATGGTGTGATAATTATAGATCAATAATAGAAGAAAACCAGAAATCCACAACCTTTTGTTGCCTCAAAGAGACAAAAGAAATATTGTCTAGATCTGTTGTCAAAGGTCAACCATTTTTCTTGTGCTATTTATTAGTCCTCAATCAAATTGCTTACTTATTTGTAGGAAAACAACGAGTCACAGTTCTATTCATGAAACTGCAAGGTCCTATTTTCTTTTAGACCCCTACCCTTCCATGTAAAAAGTGGTAGGTTAGAGTGATATCAAATCTCACAAGAAGGTACCCTGGCACTGTGTAGGAGCATCTTTTTGTGATGTCAGCAATTCCAGGATCAATCCAGTAATGTCACCCTCACCTAGATGAGCTCGCTAAAAACCTGAGTGAGTCTTTTTAACATTTTTTCAGGGGATATTGTTTTTCTTTTTTATATTTAACTGTGCTTTTTTTTAGATGGGGAGAGGTCTACAATAATATTGGCCCTTGTTTTTTTTATGCAACCTTTACTTAAAGCTCAACTCTGGGATAAGCAAACATTGCCGAAATACAAGAGTCATGGGTATTCTTGCCTGAGTCTTGGTGTGATTTGTATATTTTGTCCAGATCTGTGCAGTAATCCAATGTGAAACTGTTTAGGAGTTTCAAGAAATAAAGACCTGTCACTGCTGCTTTCTCTTTTTGTGGAGGGTGACTGGTCTTGTTTATGCCCCATCCTATAGTGTTCTGCAGGCAGCATATAGGGGTCTATTCACGAAGCAGCCCAAGGATCTAGCCGTAGCTTCGGCTGATCCTTCGGCTAGCTTCGGCCCCAGGACCCCTTCGGTTCAGTAGAACCGAAGGGCTGCTGTACGGGCTATTCCCTATAGCCCGTACAGCTCCCGAAGTTGGCTGAGCGGCTCAGTCGATATGCCTATGCCTCGGCTCGACTGAGCCACGCTGAAAACCGAAGCTGGCCGAATGGCCGGCCATTGGCCCGCCGACAGCCTGCTTCTGACAGCTGAGCGGAGCCAGCCCTCATCTCACGGCTGGCTCCGACCACTTGCAAAGAGATCAGCGTCCCTGGTATCCAGCTAATTAGGGACGCTGTCAATACACACTGAGAGCGGCCTCTCCGTGTTCTCAGTGTGTAATGACAGATGTAGTTTCTGGTTACCTGGTAACCAGGAACGCGTCTGTCATTCCTCCCCCGGACGCTCTGGGAGTCTAATAGGCTACCGGCCGCCCGGGAGAGAAACACTTTCTCACAGAAAGGTTCACTCTGCTCGATCAAGAAGAGTAAACCTTTCCCTGCTCTGTTTTTTCTTTTTTTCAGTTCTCCATCAGGTCCCCATCTGGTGATTGACAGCAGCAGAGGGCGGGTGCAATAGCTGGTTTTCTATTGGCTATTGCAAAGTGAAATAGCCAATAGGAATCTAGTTATGCTTTCCTACGGGGATTTCTTTTTTTTTTGACGGTAGCAGAACCGTCTGGCCAATAGAAAACAGTTGGGCGGAGCTAGCTGCGACTGCTAGCTCCGCACAATCGTTTTCTATTTTTTTTCTACTTTTTAAACTATTTTTCTGTTCGGCTATTTACTCACTGCTGTTCGGCATCTATAAGAATAAACAGCAGCAACTTGCCTGCCGGGGGTTAGGCTTAGCCAATCCAGATGTCGGATCGGCTGAGTCGAACTCCTTCTGCACTTTGGGTAGGCCGAACATGCTGAGCATGTTTGGCCGACCCGAAGCCACACAAAGCCACCCGATGTACGGCTGATTTCAGCCGTTATACGGCTGGAATCAGCCATACCAGCCTGAAGTGAATAGCCGAAAAGCGTTCGGCTCACATCGCTTGGGGTCGGTGAGTCACTCGGCTGCCTACTGTGGCTTAGTGAATAGACCCCATAGTGTGGGAGAGGGGCTGCTGGCCAATCCCACAGCTCTGCTCTCTGCACAGGGTATGTACAGCACAGTGATACGGTCATTGCTACATTTACAAGAAAATATCTGCATTTGGAAAGGCAGTTGGCATACACAGAGTGGATTTCCATCATTTGGTTCTATTGAAGAGTATATTTAAATGGAAGTTTTTGTACCCAGAGCTCAGCTTTAAAGTACTTCACATCTAAAGCCTGCTACCTGTTACTTCTGCTTCATAATCTGAATGGATATATTTGGTAGTGATATAAATGTGTCTCCAATGAGGTATAACTCTTCTAACATTTTTAATACCTTTTCTAAAATTTGAAGTTGTTATTGAGTTCCTAATTTTACAATATGTGTCAAATTTAAAATTTTTGAAAGTTGAAGTTCAACCCTAGTCAATTGTTTTTAGTGGGGAAGGACTCCTGTCAGGATTTTACTTCTGTCTATATCTGTTCAGGAGATTCCCCTTACTGGAGGGGAGTAAAAAAACTATTCAAAGAGACAACAGCAATAAAACCAGACTGGGGAAAACGTGGAAACTCTGTCAACATGTATTGCTATACAGGTATTCCTCACTTAACGACCGAGTTCCGTTCCTACGACCAGGTCGTTAAACAAATTGGTCGTTAAGTGAGGAACTCTATACAGTACTGTACTGCATTAGTACAGTACTGTATAGCGTTGCCGATGTACAGTACTGAACAGTGTACTGTACATCGGGTAATGAAAATACTCACGGGGACGCGCTGTGAAGAACGGAGGACGTCACTTCCCCCGGCGACACGTCGCACTGGCGCTGACGCGCGAGGTCGGAGGTCGCTCGGAGGACGGTCGTAAGTGCGAGTGGTCGCAAAACAGGTAAGTCGTTAAGCGAAGAGTATCTGTATATATCCCCAACTGTGGGGATTTCCTCCTGCTTCCTGTTCTAGCAAAGGTTGTCACTGGGAAACCAAGAGAGAGTAAATATCCCTAGTGGAGACCCAGGCAGGAATAAAAACCTGTCAAACAGCCAGCTGGGAACACGTTTGGAGAAACAGCAAATAACTCGCTAGTTGAACCACTCTCCATTCAATCCATAAAAATCCTGTAATCTTTTTATAAGCAGTACTTAAAGCCTGGATGAAGGAGTAATGTTTTAACCTTGGAAATGAGTTGGCTGGTTATAAGCTTGTGGGCGTTTCTTTGATGAAATCTATACTTTTAGACTGCCAAATGTGTGATGTGGTTTTCTCATGTTTTACCTCCTGCTTTCCTGTATTGTGCTTTGAGGCCTTTTCTTGTTAGCAAGTCACCTTGACTGAGTTGTGGTACTCTTTGCTATGTATTTATGCTCACACTGTGAAACAAAACCAACTCTGCATCCAGTGCCTCACACTTTCAGGAATAAAAACAGAAGTTTCAACTGTTGTTGCTGTCTGTGCCCTCCGTGGATAGGTTTTCCTTCACATAAAGTAAAGGGTAATCTCCTCTTCAAGTAACAAGACAGTAATAAAAGCTCAACATACATAGTAACATAGTATGTAAGGCTGAATAAAGACCAAGGTCCAGAGGCTCTAACCCTTTCCCAATCTTTCCGACCCTAGTAAAAAGTTTTGTCTGCATTTCTAAAATGAATAACATAAATAGAAAAGGGCACTTATGAAACTCCTGGGTTAACATTGAGACTGTATATACCAATCAAAGGTGCACATTCTAGTCCCAGCACATTCATTATGTCAGAATTAGTATTTTGAGAAAAGTATACTTTTTATGGTTCTAAGGTAACTCTAGGAAATAAAGCTGCTTCTGCACAGTTATTACTTTATAATTAAGTCTAAAGTCAAGTTTTACCTCTTGTCCCATCTCCATACTGCAAAGTTTTGTTGATTGTGCTTTTGCATCAACCATAACATTAAACATAGTACAGATAGATTGCGGCACCCGGAAGTCTGTCGATCGGCTGGTTTTCTGTAACTTCACCTCAAATGCAATTCTAGTCCTGTTGAAAAAAAAATAAAAAATCAACACACTGCCAGAAAACACACCTTAAAGAGGAGATCTGCTGTTTATTACATTTACACATTTTCTGCATGTGAGTGGTAAGGCACAGCAGCACATGTTCTGCATTAATTCAAATTATATTCTTAATACTTTAGGGAAAGCTCTGAACATGGCCCACAGAAGGACACATGAGATACTTTGACTTCACAGGGACACTTTAACCCTCATTCATTAAAAGAAGGGACATTGAAAGGTTCTCCTCAGAGAGTATTATAAAACAGCTTAAATAACCTTGTTTCTGCCCAAAGCGAATTTGCGTCCCATTATAAAAACTGAGTACTATTATATTCCATATAGCACTTCTACTGCAGGACACCATGTACTGCAGCTAGGCCACTCCACTAGAGGAAAGTAAAGCACAAGGATCGTCACTAATGTAGGTTTGGCAGTGCTTTGTGCCAGATTGTTGGACTTATCAACAAATGTGAACTTCAGAAGTCCCTTCAAAGGGTAATTCTTTAAATCTGAGACCTGACATGGCTGTGGCAGATGTCCTCCCACTTTCATACTCCAGTGGCCTAAGAACTCTAATCCTTCCACTAAGAGTTCACTCCATCCATGCCCCAAGCCTACATCGTCAGTTAACCTACACTAGACAGCATAGAAGCTACTTCACATGCCCCTCTCTACCTCCCAGCAGACAAAGCGGCCCCAAGGAGTACATGCAGTGCCCAAATCAGTGAAGGGGCACATTGGGATGTAATAGTTAGTTGATGGATGCCTAACCGGGCAGAGCCACTATAGCAGGGAATGCAATTTATAAACTACCAATTGAAATAACTCATCTTTATTACATTGTGTCTGACCCAGCAGCAAGAAATCAGTAAGACTACCCAATGACAATATCCAGACACTGTCAAAGTGCTTGTGGAAAGTTCCCCGGACCCACTTATACGTGATTAATTACCCATACACTGTCCCTGGGCAGAGATGGTGCCATCACTGCTCCCTCTGGGCTCTGAAAGCAGCCAGAAATCTGTATTTTGGTGCTGGCTGTGACTGAAGAGGGAATGACAGGTGATTGTTGGAGAGGTGATTATCACCTGAATTGCCAAATTACAGTGTATGTTTCAGAACATCAAAGTGTTTCTTTTAACAGAAAATAATTACATGTCATCACTTTTTTCACAAACCCAAACAAGGGGTTTATTCCTCCCCTTAGAATAATGGATGGATCCATGAAAATTAGTCCCTTATACCCCTGTGGCCAATGGGGACATCCAGATTTCCTGTTTATAGCACAGACCCAAAAATGTGTGACAAGCTGAGAGCAGCATCAAGCTTGGCAGGTCTTCCGCAGGATTCAACGGTGAACCATTAAAGTGACAATAAACTCAAGAGTTAAATATTAACAATGCATTCAAGCACGTTAACCATTAACAAAACGGTACCCTTTTTGTGCAAAACGCAGCTGTAGTTCCTAAAATCATCTCCAAATTCATGCTGACACTGTCCTTCCTTCTGGAGGGTGGTTATCATTGTTCCCCATGGTCCCTGTGTGTTTTGAAAAGTAGCCACCGCTCCAAGCTCACTCTGTGATGGACAACAATCTCAATAGAAATTAGAAGTAGCAGAACTAGCAGGGTTATCCACAAAAGTGTGAATAGTTTGGAGAAGGCAGAAGTGAATGATCTAGGATGACATAGCTGAACTGGAAAATGAGCTGAATTGGAGAATTTTTCCAAATTAGCTATTTTGTCCTAGATTGTTCACTTCTCCTGCCTTCTCCAAACTCTTTATCCATTTGTGAATAATCACAAAATGTAAATGTAAGATTGTAGTCCATCACAGGAGTGAGCTTGGTTAAATAAAAGTAGTCACTCACACTCCATAAGTAGTAAAGTCAATAGGGTTTAATGCCTGTGATGATGCACATCTCCTAAGCAACGTTTCGGGACCGTGCGGCCCCTTTCTCAGGCAAACAGAGAGGAGTGAGCTTGGGGTGGTGGCTACTTTACAACACACACAGGGACAGATGATTTGAAGATCTACAGCTGACTGAAGTACACACAAGGTATAGTTTTTTAATATTTTTACGATTTACCTTCTCGATTTAGAGTTACTTTAATAAGTACCAATAAAATAATTTGTCATTCAAAAACAGTGAATCTTTAAATTTATGTTTAGTATGGCTGGTCGAAATACTCACTCATAAATTATGGTGAATTTCCCTGAGACCTTAACTCACCACCATAGAATAGGAAACCCAGATATATGGCAAACTGCTGCAAAAGAGACCTGACCCCAACAGTACATGGGCAGAAAAGGGTTCATAAATGTGACAAACCTTCCGAGTGTTCAGCAGTGGAAGGATACAAATGATCATTCATCACTTTTTAAATCTGCCCTATACTAATATGGAAAGTGGAAAAAAAGAATCACACATTCAGAAAGATTGCCCTTAGGGATCTCAGAATGGAAGGCAGCCAAACAGAGGGCAGATTAAATATACAAAAGTGGAGAGGAAGCATTTTGCTGTAACAACGGTGACAAAGAGGAAACCAACTTTTATTTTTGCATGTTATACACACACACAAAGAAAGATAAAAAAGTATGGGGGAGTTGTATATCTTTTCATCCAGGAGAATTGTTTCTTTTGCCAAATACACTATGAACTGAATACTGTACTAATTTTACTGTACAATAAATGACAAAATATCAAACAAAAAAGAAAATCAGGAGGATCTTTAAATCACTTGGTATTCTTTAAAATGTCCCAAATACTGTAATAGTTTAAACATCAACATGAAAGTGTAGATTGTTTATCATAATAAGATTTATGTATTTCTCATACACTAAATAAAATCTTATACATAATACAGACATCTTTTCTATGTTCATCATGTTTATTGTCATGTCAGATGCATTCTTAGCTTATAAGTTCCTTTCTGTTTAAGCAACTAGATTATCTGGGTTTAAGTGAGTCAGTATCCTAAAACCTCACTGGGAAAAACTTGGGTAAGCAGCATCCACAGAATTCTGGGAGTGTCGGTGTCTCAGTGTGTGCCTTCAGTCTGCTGACAGAGGTGCTACCTAGAAAGTGCTTTACTAATTCTGGGCACATACAAGCCCTGAGAGCAGCTGGTGGTTTTTGCTTCCTGTGGTGCTATAATTGCCTCAATGAAGGCTCCATCTGCTCCCTGCGACTTCAAAGGAAAGTCAGGGTGCAAATGGAATCGATCAAGTGCAAACTGGGCTTTAAGCTCCAGCATGTGGAGAGGATAGGTGTGCCTGAGACTAAAGCCCCTTAGTGTGTATAGGGGGGTTCCCTCTATGAATATAAAGAAGGGAACGTAGAGGGCCCAGATCTGACAGATTTCAGAATCCTTGTATGCAAGAGAACAATACCTCCACAGCACTGACAACCACATCACAGAAGAGATCTTTTTTCTGGGATTCCAGAATAAAAAGAAGGGGGGGGGGGCTTGAAATCCCCTATGCTCTGATAAACCAACAGGAGCTTTCCTTCCTGAGATTCATATGTCATCAGAGTGATGCAAACCTTTAGTAGAGCATTGACACATCATGACTTCTTTGCCCTTACCCCTAGTAATTGTAAATCCCACTTGAACTCTCACACCCATTTTCCTTTTTATAGTGTGGTACCACTGAATGTTATGATTTTTTTGTCTTCTTAAAGAGACTGATTTTAACAACTACAAAAAACACCAACTGCAACAGAAGAATGTGTACTCATCTGCTTTGTCACGTGTTCCCACAACCTTTGCACTACTGGCTCTGGCAGAATTTTAGCTTCCTACACACTTCTGAGTGTGTCAGATGCCTGGTTCCCTGCAGCCCACTGTGGGTCTGTTGTGCACTGTGGTTCCATCCTCCAGCCCTAAGGGAAAGCATGGGCTGCAGCATATGAGATCTGGAAGGTTCAGATGTTAAGATTCTGAAGGGGGCTGCAGCTCTGCAAGTCAACGAAGATCAGATGAATGGATGGTGGGACAGGAAAGTATAAAAAACTATACTATGCAATAGGGTTGATTTACTAAAGGCAAATAGACTGTTCACTTTGCAAGGGAATTTGCACCTTGCAGGGGAAGTTACCCTTAGCTAAGGGAATGTGGTGACATTTCATTTTGGAAACAATATTGAATCACGTGAAAGAAAAACTTAAAAAAACAGCATTTTTTTCTTGAACATGATTGGGTGATGGAAGTCAGCAGAGCTTCCCCTGATTTATTAAACCAAGGGCAAACTTCCCTTGCTAGTTGCCTTATTAACCCCAATGCCTTCGTTTCTTTTGCTCCTATTGGGCTTTAAAGCTGAAAGCCCACCAACATCGGATTTTTCGGGGTGTACAGTTTAGGAGAACACCTACGTTGCATTTAAGGTTTAAATTTAAAATTTTAACAGCTCTTCTGCTACAATTTTGTTGAACTGTTCTTGTTTAAACCAGAGGGTTTTTTAAAATGAATACTGACAGGATTTACTTAACACACAATTTTACATTAGCTCTGCAGAGTTTTGATAGAACTCTTATATTATGTGTGGCTAGTGTGCAGAAGGGAAAACAGAGTGGATTTATAATTATAGTATACCCTAGAAGTTTAAAGTACCAAATGTCTTTCTTTTCTTTTTTTAATAATTATACTCATTTTGTCTGTTTCATCCAAAGCTATTAATTACAGTAGAGATCACAGACACCATCTGTATACTAAGGTGTAAATTTCACAATTGTATGTGGTCTATTCACAAATGTTTCTTTACTCTGGCTTACAAAAAAAAAGCCTCATGTGAACATTTTCCTCTTACAAATGTTCCCATCCTAACATGAGATTGAGACGTCAAAGAACAGTATCAGGAAAGCTGGCTTGCCTATACAAAGTTTGATGTTTAAGCAGATGATATAATCATTTTTATGCTTTCCTAAAGAAGAAAAGTTTTTTATTTACAGGAGTCAGACTTTTATTTATAAATTTAGTTTAG